ACTGCTTTGCCAACCAACATGCTCATGTACACACCTTGGGCCATCTTTCTACCCCAGACAGTGTCTGGTGGCAACATAGGCCAGGGATCACTGCCCCAGGACACCTGTCCCTTTGTGTGCCAAGAATTCAGAAGCCACAGAAGGCCCTCTGAGACACAGTCATGACCCAGATCATTTTCAAGGCACATTCAAAGCCAATCCTTTAAAGCCTGCTTCTGCTAATGGAACACAGTCTTTCTCCATCAGGCCTTGTTCTGTTGCTGATGAGGAACTGTGATCCCCTGTAGAGGGAGAGGCGTTCTGAGTTTGGGTATTCTCAGCCTTTTTAGGCTGTTTTCTTCCCTACTTTATAGATTTATCCATCTGTGGTCTTTATAATTACCGTCTTTATAGTTGGGTTTCTGAATGGACATCCAACTTGTTGATTCCCGGCGCTAGAATCTGAGCAACCCACTGCACCGGCCAAAACAGCGGCTTTAAGATTGATGGTGCTTTTCTGACTGCACTGAGAACCGCCGCACCAAGCAGCGGCAAAACCGCCTCACCGGCCTCAAGAGTCGCGCTGGTGACACGTGGGGCTCCTCCCCTGGGAATCTCCTGGTGCGTGAGCAACAAAAATTGATCTGAAAGTGTGGCGTCCTCTCGTTCTCTGCGCTTTCACTGGGAGCTACAATCCCGAGCTGCTAGTGATCAGCCATCTTGCATCTCTCTCCCCCAGCTAATTTTTATATTTTAGTAGAGATGGGGTTTCACTGTGTTGGCCAGGATGGCCTTGATCTCTTGACCTCGTGATCCACCCACCTCGGCCTCCCAAAGTGCTGGGATTACAGGCGTGAGCCACTGCGCCTGGCCTGCATTATGCTCCTTACCTCATCTCGGCTACTAGAAAGCCTTGGGCCCCTGCCTATATGGCACGTGATGTACTTGACCCTATCACTGACCACCAGTGCCACACCCTACCTACCCTGCCCCCAGCTTTGTACTCAATAAAAGTCAGAGTGTGTGGACACTCAAGGCCACTGCCAGACTCCGTGCTTTGGTTGGTAACGGACTCCTGGGCCCAAAGTCTTTTGTCTATCTCTGTGTTTTGCATCTTTTATTTCTACAGTTTCTCTTCTCCACACCAGCAGATAGGGACTCAAAGGACCCAGTAGGGCTGGACCTACACAGGACCACGAGAATGTTCAAGAGAGGTAATTGGCCCAGAATGATGCAGGGAGCCAGCCAAGCTCTTCCTGAGAGAGGGAAGGGGATTCTGAGGGAGGGGTGGGTGTTCATCACAGCCCTGGTGCATTCAGCCAACAGACCTGCCCACTCAGATCATTAAGGGACCCTCCAGCTGGTGATGATGGCGCCTGGATCTCCCAAGCCTATTCCTGTTCATTGTCCTGTCTTCCTTCTTTCCTTCCCCCTTGTCTCCCTCAGGTCTCTGCCCCCAGCAGGCTGAACGCTAGATTCAGAGCTCTGAGTGCCAGCCCACCTGGGGCTCAGTGGACTTGGTTGCACATTTGGTCTTTGTCATGGATGTTGGCAACTGCTCTCCCCCGGATCCCCCCAGGTCTTCCTCACCAGCTGAGTGTCTCCTGTCTCCTCTCCTTCCCTGGTTCCTGTTCAGTCTGACCAAATCCTTGTAAAAGCAGAGAAGAAATGTCCTGTCCACATTTCAGAATTTTAACTCATTTGTGATTTTTATGAGAATGTGAATTGGTACAGCATTTTTGTAATAAAATTTTAGAAATATTTTAAATGTTAAACTGTTTTCAACTTTTCACCTTAACCCAATATCCATGTTAATACATTCTTTTTATAAGAAAACAATGTGGGTGAGTACTATAAAGCCCCCCGATAAACTGTTACATAGTAGGTGCTCAACAAGAGACAACTGTAATTATTTGGTATTACACTACCAATCCCATTTCAAGGAGGAGTTCCTGAGAAGGTCAATTTGCCTTGAAGTTCTGCAACTTTTTCCAGTGTCAAAGATGTGACTGATGTTTTCAAATATATGATCACAACTAACTGTCCAAGAATCTTGAAAGTCTCAGCAGGAAGGCTTACCTTTGCTATACCCCTTAAATGCTTAGTAGGCTGCGAATTTTTCTTCCATTTGATTCCTGGTCAAAATGTTAACCTGTGAATTTCTGCTACCCTCCACATGCCCGAACTCCTGTCAGCTGCCTCTAGGCACACTGAAAGCCAGTATTTTCCCGTGGAGCAGTTAAACAGACAAGAAACAGAAGGCTGCTTAATAATTCCTCTTTCATTAGAGTTGACATGTTTTCAAGGAATCATTTTTAAACTCCTGGAGGACTCCAGAAATTTAGGAATTCAACCTCAGTAAGTAGATGTTTGTTCCACTAGCATTTCCCAAGTTATTTCTCATCTAATAGTCATGAGGGAAGGTTTGTTCTTTGACCATTCATCTGTGCATGTATTCCGAGGTGATTCCCAAAAAGATGCCCTATGAAAGTCTGATTTCAAGTATCAAGGTGGTTCCAAATCTCTCTAACTTGAGGGTGATATCCCAAGAACCCTCAGATAATATGGCGAATCAGACTACTCAGCCCATTCAGAAAACAATTAGAAAGTGTGTTGAAGATCACCAGAGTGGTAACCAGGTGTTTAAACGTCACTGTGCCCATGTGAATTTTTATATCAAAAGGGTTTTTGGCATCATATGGCTTCCTGGGTGAGAGATGGGACATCCAGAGGACTTCTGAAAGGAGAAGGAATGCTCCCTGTTGGAAGGAGAGCAGACAATTCTGGGCTGTTCTGTGTTGACCAGTGATGAGCTGATCAGCAGGCCAGGTTCCAGAGACAGACAGGACACATGGAAGTGACTGGGGGAAATGTGCTGTAATTCTGGAAAGAGCTGGGGCTGGACAGAAATGCCCACACCTGGACAGAGTCAGCTCTCAAGGAATCCAGCGTGCACCAGCCCCAAATGGTGTTTGATTTTCATTGTCATGTTCTCCAGGCCTGCTTTTAGTATGCTGGCTTCAAGGTCCTTCTTTTTGTCACCTGAGAGACATGACGCAGTGCTGAGAAGAAAAATGAAGTACCAGTCTTCTTGGGCTGGGAGAAGTGGGAACAGCATGGGCTGTAAAGGAATTCAGACCAGGGATCTGGTTTCACCCCGTTACTTACTAAACGCGTGATCTTGGGAAATATCTAGGAAAAACCCTGTTATTATGTCCCAATTCACAAGCCCCATGGGCTTTGGATTCTTCATCTGTAAGCAGATGTGATACGCCCTGTCTAGTAGGACAGTTGAAGTGTGTGCAATGTAGGTGAAGCACCTGGCTCAGGGCCTAGTGTAAATTAGAAGTTTATCGAATTGCAGATGGCTGCTATTTCTAATATTATTTAACCCTAATCCTAACACTCTGAGATTTCGTTGTTGTTGTCATTGTCTCCAGAACTTATCAGAGAATATACAGCTCAATAGGACATGGGATAATAGTCAAAAAAGGAAATTTCATCCGTAAAATTCAGTATTTCCTCTTAGAGAATGTACTTCAACATTTGGGTGTGTGGGAGTTTTGCCCAGCCACGAGCTCAAAGCTCCTAGAATTGGAGCCAATGACTAACTTCTTCCCTCTCTCCCAGCTGCTTTCCCACCCAAACCACTATTCCATCCATTTTGTTACCATTGAAAATCTAGCCTTTGCTTACAATTGGTCCAATTGCCCTTGAGATAACCTGGTTAGAATGCTTTTTTAATGGAGTCAGCTCTGGCTCTCCCTGCCCAGCAGAAAAGCACCTGGCCAGTGGCTTCCAGGCCACCCTTCCCGGGAAATTCACCCTTATCGCTCAGGAAACCCTTGCAGATGATGGGTGTCCATCACCTAGATCTGGGGCTGTGTTCAATGGCACTGGGGCAAGAGCACAGGACACCTTTTATTCCTGCCCCAGTCAGAGACTCCTCTCTGTTCATCCACTGCCCAAAAGAAACTCCTCAGGGCAGCTTTCCATTCCAGGCTTTTCTCTCATCCTCTGAGAATCTGGCCCTGGACCCACTCAGGATCATTACAATCAGCTTCTTCAGAAGGAACTGCAGTTTCCCAAAGCCCAAAAGGCCCCACACAGGGCATTTACACTCCACCACTCTCACCTGGAGCCCCACACCCACACCCCTCTCTTACTTTTCCTCTACATCTTAGAGGAAAAGTAAGAGAGGGGTGTGGGTGTGGGGCTCCAGGTGAGAGTGGTGGAGTGTAAATGCCCTGTGTGGGGCCTTTTGGGCTTTGGGAAACTGCA